TTCTGATGATGGTTGATGTCAGATTTGATCCAGTACTGCTCAATACAAGTCTTGTTTCTCGTTCTAATAAAACTGAGGAGTGGAAGTATTGTGGTGATGTGAGGTCCCCAGGACAAGGTGAGAGATCAGAATTTGACTCCAAGTTCTCAGAAGGCTGATTTATTATGATATTTTATTAAAAGAAAATGATATACTAAAACTATAGTAAAGAAAGAGAAAGGATACAGACAGAAGGCTAGACAAGAATGAATAAGAACCCGTGACTGACCAGAGTTCCAACACAGCTGGACTGGGATTGCTCATTAAGTTAAAACAATTCACATGCTGGGTAAACAATTCTCCAAATCACATTCCAAAGCAGCAAAACAGGGAGAAGCTGAAGCTTCCCGGCTTCCCAGGAGAAGAAATCCTGGTGAAGGGATTTTTCAGAAAATATCTTGGTGACAGTGGAAGCTCTTGCTTGCCTCAGCCCTTCAGTTTCCTTCTCATTTTGGCAATTTCTCCACACAACCGTGTGACGTACAAGGCCTGCATGGTTTCCAGCCTTTCCCGAGTCCCTAGCCACAGCTGAAACCTATCCCAGATCCTGTCTGACTAATGCAGCACTTATTTCCCCACCCAGGGGGGACCCTTAGGCAGAGTTGTCAGGGCTGCCCCAGCTGGCTTGTCCATCCTGTACAGAGCTCAGCCTGGGCATACAGATCAGTTGTGAGAGCTCTGCAAACATGATAAGCATCTCAGAGCAGCAGGAGTCATTAAACACACAGGCACCCTCAGCCACATCAAACAGAATTGGAAACACTGAGCAAAAAGTAAGGTGGCAAATTAAAAAAAAAAAAAAAATCTAAAAATCAGTACTTTAAGATCAGAAGTATGAATAACAGAATGAAATCAATATAACCTAATAATTTATGTACAGATTCTAAACAGAAAGAAGCAGAGTCTGTGAGGAATGGAGTGAAAAAGAATAGAAGCAGTAAATGAGAAAAATGTAATATTAAAATGCTAATTTAAAATTTCAGGGAAATACCTAAAAGCCCTCAAAATGCAAGGTGATTCATCTCCTTTCAAAGAGGCCTAACAGTACCATCAATAAAATTTCTTCTTTTGCTCTTTACCTCTGACTTCAGGTAGGAAAGCCAAAGTGTAACACAAAGAGGCCAGCATTACTACATAATTCTGTAGTATCTGTAGAGCCAATTTGCCATTTGAACATCTTTTCAGTGACTGCCTCTCAGAATTTTAATTCTCCTTTGCTGTCAGTTGGCTGAATACATTACAGGAGCTATGTATCTCTAATAAGAGTCAAATCTCTTTTCTTAAGATCATTGCTACTGTCCATAATACAGTTCTTTTCATTAATTGTAAATGGTATTGTTTAGCAGAAGACAAACTAGTTGGGCCTTCTAACTATTCCCTCTTGGATATCCATTCAATTGTGTAATATATGAGGAAGAGTCTCATTTGTAATTTTTTGTTTCTTTCATTTTAAAAGTTCTACTGTTTCACACCAGTTCAAATGTGAAAAGAGTCAAAAAGATACCATGGTAGTTATTAATTGGATAATTTCTGAAATTTTGAAATCCTCGAGTCTTACTGTGTTAAGTGTTGAAGATTTTTCCTGATTGCTGAATTCATTACTTATCCTGTACTTTTAGGTGGTTTCCTTTGAGTTGTATCTTCAGGTAAGTCAGTCTGCTAAAATAACCAATATTGGTGTACCTGTCAAATGCTTGAGATTACTGGGCTTATCCTTATCTTTGAACATAAAAGATGAGCAGACAGGTACTTGTTGATAGCCCAATGTATTGTAGAGAAAGTGATATTTGTATAATCTGGTAAAGAAACTGTGCTTTGTTAACATACTGCAGGTATGTTAATAGTAGGTCTATTTTTCAAGAGCTCCTGTTGTTTTTTGCCCCAATCTAGAACTTTAAATCTAATCTTTGTGGTATTTTCAGGGTCTCCAGATGAAAGAAGGAAATGAATCTGACTCCAAGTTCTTAGAAGGCTAATTTATTTTTTATGATATTATATTATATTAAAGAATACTATACTAAAGAATACAGAAAGGATACTTACAGAAGGCTAAAAGATAATAATGAAAACTTGTGACTATTTCAGAGTCCCGACACAGCCTGACCATGATTGGTCATTAAGTCAAAACAATTCACCTGGTGGATAAACAATCTCCAGCCATATCCCAAAGCAGCAAAACACAGGAGAAGCAAATCAGATAATTATTGTTTTCCTTTTTCTCTGAGGCTTCTCAGCTTCCAAGGCAAAAAATCCTGACCAAAGATTTTTCAGAAAATATGATGGTGACAAGTCTTCATTTTTTTTTTTTTTTTTATCAAACCTCAGTTTTCTCACTGTTCTACAGCACAATCATATACAGCTTCTCAGAGACATAGTCTGGGCTTCACACTTTTAAACTGTGCATGGATCAAGAAATGAGCTAAGATAAAACAGACAGCACTTTTTGGCTGGGCTTTTAAAACCAGTCAGTTGCATAAGGAGTCAGTGATCATATTTTCCTCCATGCTATTCTGTGGGTTACTGAAGAAGATACAGTACCAAGACTTGCCAGTATAGTGGACTGGTTCTGGCTCTGAATTTACTCATCCCCTGCCCTATCTGTTCCAAAGGGTGCATTAGAGGAGTCAATGTGACATTACATAGGAGGGGTAGCACTGGCTTTCCTGAACCATTCCTACATGAATTAAGGCAAAGGATGCTACTTCATTTTCAGTTTAAAGCACGTCTATGTGTGTTGGTAAAAGTCTTGAATTATATGAATATTCAAGGCCATTTACATTTTGATTTCCAAGCGATCTTTGGAAATAGAGGCAAAGCCTTATGTCTCTTAGTGTCTCTAAGTGCAATAGTTCTTAGTCCATTTTTGTCTGATGTTCCCCTAAAACTTTTATGATTCAAGTTAATGGAGTAGGTTTATTTAATCTCTTCAATAAAACTTTTGAGGAAAAGTTTCATAAAAGTTGACCTTTCAGTAATACGTCTGTTTAATTTTCCTGAGTCTGACACATTGAGAACTAAAATGGAATGACATTTTTTAGAACTGTCAGTAATTGCTGCTGTTATCAATCATTAGCCAGCGAGGCACCATCTTCATCAGCTAACTTTGCCTTGGCCTGCCTCTGTTTCTAGTTGTAAAATTGATATCCTCCCATGTGGTAGCCGTGGCTTTAAAAGTCCCGCCTGCGCCGCCGTCCCCGCCTGCCAGCAGACGGAGCGGGAGGAGTGCGCGGTTTCTCGGCTCGGCGGGCGGGAGCCGCTCCGTCGACAGTGGCGCGCCGGATCGGCGTTCAGCTCTGCCAGAGGCGGGCAAAAAGGCACGGCACCACAGACAGGGAATGGGAGAGCGTCCCCCCGACCGGGGCCAGTTCAGGTTTTATTCCAGAACGCGGAGTAACACCCAGGGGAAGCCGCCGGACCGAAGGGCGGCGGCGGGAGGGAATACCCGTTTTATATAGGAGAGACGGGAGGGGGAGAGCTCAGACAGGCAGCGAATGGGGGCCCACGGTTGAGCGCGGGCTTTCTCAGAGTGACAAGACGGGTAACCAACCGAGAGAGCTCAAAGGTGGGACCCCGGTCCCCGGCCCAATAATTCCATGTATAGCACCGAAGTTTCTGGATAAAAGGGGAGCATTTGGGGGGTGACAGAAAGGGCGCGAGTTTCCAGGGTAACAGGTGATGGGCAGATAACTGGGAAAGAGGGGGAATTCCAGACAGAACCATTATATAGAAAAAGGGGGTAACAGAACATTCCAGCTTAAACCGGGAGAGCAGAATAACACAACACAACACTCCCAATACATTTCCTGTCATGCTCAAATGAAAGCTGAAACAGGAAGAGTATTTCTCTTTTACCTTGTATTTATAAACATCCATGTTAGTTTTAAATATTTCTGACTGTGTTTTAGTATCTCCATACTACAGCCCTTAATAAATGATAATGGTCTGTGTTATCATTGTTTTTCTATCTGCATGCCCCAGAACTCTGTTTAAAATCTTTTTTCCCTTCCTCTGCTATAATGCCTTTTGTAAACATCTGATAATCTTTGTTTTGAATTAATTTTCAGGAGCCTGCTTTGCTGCTAAATTGGGGCTCATATTCTCTAATACAGTGCAACTGCATATGTTTTCGAGTTAACAGCAGTTGCAGCATGTGCTTTAATCAATCTTTCTTAACACTGATCCTTTTAGCAGTCTTATCAGGTAGTGGATAATTGATTATTGCTATTGTTTTACTGGGGTACATGCTACTGAACCATACAAGGAGATCTTCCTTCTCCAAAGACCAGCAACTTTAATACAGTCCTTTCCTGAAGCATGGTCAGTCTCCTGTGCTGCTTCATGGGCACTTTTTTTACATTTTGAGAAACCCAGTTCACATGTCTCCTGTATTCTTACACTAATTTTTTTCTTGTTAGTGTCATTCATTATTTTTAGAGCATGGGATTCTGTAATTCTTTCTATTGCTTTTCTCTCACAAGGAAGTCTTGACACACAGTTATGCTCCTCACTGTGTTAATATGTTGAATCAAGTGCAGTGACCATGACTGCATGCTGTGTGAGCAGCTGGATTTGAAACTTTACCTGTGTGGATTCCTAACACTGGCTGGTTCTAAAACAAATAAAAAAGCAGGCCCAGACAGTGATAGGATTGTCATCAACTACTCTTCCAGAACAGTTCCCTTTGTCAGTACTCATAATTAATTTGATTGAAACAGTCCAGTGATAATCTATTGATTCATGTTTCAGTGATAAAATTTTTAACAACAGGAATATTACTCTGTGGTTTTGTGGAGCGGTGTGGCCAGTAGAGCACGCCCAGGCTAGGTGACCAGCCCGTCTCCAGCCGATGGGGTGCTTCCCCAACTCAAAGTCAGGTACCATGCCTAAGGCAATAAACTGCCTTGTGGACATTGGCCGCAGAAACTCCAACCCGCGGGAGAAAGAAGAGGCGTCTCTCAGTCTCTTGGTGCAATTGGGTTTATTAGGCCCCAGAGGGACCAAACACCCCCAACAAATCCCGAGGCTGAGAGTACCAAGGAGGGGAAAACCTTGGTTTTATAAGGAAAGTGGGAGGGGAGGGTGGTAAAAAATCAGGAGCAAGAAGGGAAGGATACATTGAAGATTGACATAATGACAAAACCAATCATACATAACTAAGGGAGGGGCCCTGGTCCCTGAGCCAATCACCTGACACCCTGGCCAGAAGTTTCTGGAAAAAGAGGCAGGGGTGCCGAGTGACAGGCAGGCAACCGGGGATGGAGAACTAAAAGGATACATACCGCAACTATGGAAACTGGGGAGGGGTTTGGAGATTGACATTTAACTGAATCAGGACAGGACCCTTCAACATGACAATGGGGGGAGAACAGGACAAACCCAAAACGAACAGCAACATCTCCCCCTTTTTTGTTTTAAAAAAAAAGAAAATGGGGGTACACAACACAGTTCAAACTGAAGAGTGGGCATGCTCCATATTGCCTGAGCCAGGGTAGAAGTCCTCAGAGTCTTGATGGTCGGAGGCGACTGAGTCCACGGAATTCCAGGGAACTCTGCAAGTGCCCCCGGGAACATGGGTGGGGCTGGGGGATGAATAAATAGCCAAGGGTTAAAAATAGCAAATGCTATCGAGTATCAACCTGTCCTTGTCCTGATCCCACTGAGCTTCCTTGGAGCCTCTGCTGGTTCCTGGCACAGCTGGTGTCAGATAGGCAGCTCTGTGTGGGAATATCCCTGCTGCATGAGGATATCCATGGATATCCATGCTGTATGAGGCACTGGGAGGTTATTCCAGCAGAGAATTCAGGGCTATAGCTCTTAATTCATCTAAACTGCAAAGATGAACCCCAAATCTGGGCACCACACAGGGAGCAATCTTTGTGCTGCCCTGCCAGCCAAAGCCCCTGGGCTGGGAAATTTCAGCAGCCAAATGGATGGAATAATCTAAATGCCAGCATCCCCCAAAGGGACAATCCAATCACCTCCATTTACTCCCAGAGTGTCCATTCTGTTCCCCATGGGTGCCCTGGTGACACCAGGGGCTTCCTCTGCCCACAGGGCCTTTCTCCTGCCCCTCTCCAGCCTGAGGCCTCTTCTCCCTTCCCTACCAGCTGCTGCCAGGGAAGGAGGACACAGAGAGTCCAGAGGTTACCTCTAAACAGTCCTTCCCTCACCTTGAGATTATCTGAGATTTCTCCCCCAAATTTTCCCTGTCTGTCCCCTTCTGATTTCCTCACTTTTTACAAGAAAACATTCTTTCTCTAATTTGGGGATTACCACAAGCTTTATTCCCATTATTTTCCCTACCTGTCCACTCCCTATTTCCTCATTTCCACCTCAATATTTTCATTCTTTACCCTACAGATGCTTTCAATTTTCCCTTCCAATAATTTCCCTACCTGTCCATAACTGGTTACCTCAGTTTACCCCATCAAGTGCATCCTCTCTGCTACCAATCACCTCAGATTTTACCCCAAAATTTTCCCTACTTCTCCACCACTAAGTACCTCATTTTTACCTTAAAATATTAATTTTCTCTCATGGAGATTTCCTCAAGTTTTATCCCCAGATTTACCCACCTGTCCACAGCAATTCCCTCAGTTTACCTCAGGATGTCCCTGCTCTCTCCTAGAGATAATCTCACATTTTAGCCCTCACTTTTCCCTACCTGCCCAGTACTGATTACCTCCTTTTCACCTCAAAATATTCATTGTTTCCTCTACAGATTAACTCAGATTTTATTACAAAATGTCCATTTTGTCCCCTATTTACCAACTAGATTTTAAAACCAAAACCACACAGGTTATGTCTCTTACTCCCAAAATGTTCATTCTGTCCCCTGCAAATTATGTCAGATTTTTTCCCCAAAATCACTTATTGTTCCTACATAATTACCTCAGGGTTTGCCCCCCAAATTCTACCTAATGTTGACTTCTGATCATTTCTCCCTCAAGATGTTCATTCTCTGCCCTGCAGATCTTCCCAAGTTTTACCCCCAAAATTTACTTGCCTGCCCCCAGTGACTGCCTCAGTTTATGTCAGTGTTCACTCTCTCCCTTGGGATTTACTCAGGTTTTACTCCCAAAATTTTCTGTAACTGTCCATAACTTATTACCTCATTTTTGCCTGAAAATATTAATTTTCAACCTTTAGATTATTTCAAGTTTTTCCCCCCAAAATTCCCCTACCTGTCCCCTACTGATTCCCTCATTTTTCCTTCAACATTATTTACTTTCTTTAGCTTTTGTCAAGATTTAGCCCCCGAATTTTCCCAACTGTATGCTCAGTACTCATCACCTCATTTTTCCCTCCGTATGTTCATTCTCTATTCTTGAGATTTTGTCAAGTTTTGCCTCCAAAATTTTCCTTGTCTGCTACTGAGTACCTCATTTTTACTCCAATATCTTCATTCTGTCCCCTACAGATTACATGGAGTTTTACCCCCAAAATTTTCCTTCCTGTACAATATTGATTAGCTCTTTTCTACTCTGAAATTTGCATTCTCTCCCCTGAACATCACCTCAGCTTTCCCCTCAAAATGCCACCTTGCTCCCCTTGACATCCCCTCACATTTTCCTACACAAACAGTTCTTGTGTCCCCTCTCAACTGCCCCAGGTTTTCAGCTAAAAATGTCACCTCTGTCCCCTCTGAGTTATCCCAGGTCTTCCCAGTTAGGAGCTGCAAGGAATTCAGGCAGGGCAAAGGACAGCAGGGAATTCTGTAAATTCAAAGCCACAATGAGAAGATCTACCAGCAAAGGGGAAAGGTTTCAGACAACATTTCTGCAATTACTAATTAATAATTATTTCCAATTCCCCAGTGAGAAGAACATGAGCTCACCACCATTAAGGCCTGGCAGTTCCCTGCAGCGAGGGCTCAGTGCACATCCACAGAGGCAATTCCAGCATCTGAAAGGAAGGAAGAAGAAAAAGGTCATTTCTTCTCTTTCCAAGTTATTTCAAGTTCTCAGACCCAAAGCAAGCTTTGCCCTTGATTTTGGCTGGGTGACTCCTGAGCAGTGGGCACAGGTCCTGTCATTGATGCTGATGGGAGTGATGCTTTCTGGGGAAATCAGCTGATTTCCAAAGTTCACTGCCTGCCCCGTGCCTGATCTGCACAGGAGAAAACCTCTTGCATGAAGGGATTTTGCTCCATCTAATCCCATCTGCCCAGGCTGTTCCATGTGGATGTTGCCAGGCTGGGGCAGCGCAGGCAGACACAGCTCTCAGCTCTCTCTGCTCCAAGCACAGCTCTGGGCTCTTTGCAAACTCCTCTGCTGTGAGGTTTTCTCCAGGAGAACTCAAGGAATGGCTCACGGCAGGTGGAGATTAAGTTATCACACAGGGAAGTAAAGGATAAATATTCCTGTAAGAGCCTTTGGGATCTGCTGGGCTGAATTGGGAAGGGGACATTCATTCCCTGCAGTGCCAATGCACAATAACCTCCAGCACAAAGCACAGACTGTCAGGTGGGCTCTGAAAGCACCACCTGGACAAACCTCATTGTTATTCTTCTTTGCAGGGACTTCTGCAATCCAGCCCTGCAGCTGAGAAGCCCAAAAGCTCTGGAGTCTGCCTGCTCTGGAACAAAAGGATCCTGCCAGGGGTGAGGCACATTGCCAGCAAACACTGCCAACAGGCACAGAGGCACCACTGGAGCTCCTGTTGGGGCTGGGAAGGGCTGCCAGGAGGACACAGCCCCCAGGGGAGTGGCAGTGGCAGCAGCAAATTGCCACGGTCTGATGGCACAGCAGAGAGCCAAAGGCCAGCAATGGCCACGGGAGCTGCAGGTTCAATTCTGCTCCTGCGCTGCCCCATCCCGGCAGGAAATCCCCAGGGGGGACAGAAACTCTCAGGGGCACAAAATGCAGCATCTGTGACCCTGATCCTGCCTGAGCTCAGCGTGGGGGGCCAACCCCCCCAAGGGAAGCACTGCCCTGCCCTGGATCAGTGCCAGACACTGCCCCAGCTCCCAGCTGCTCCCGGGGCTGCCACCACATTCCTGACAAAGTGACAAAGGTCCCTTGGGACAGGGCTCTCTCTGGCTCTCAGGCGTTGGGGACTGCAGGGAGCAGGGCAGGGACAGCCTGGGACCAGGGCAGAGCCCTCTGGGTTTGTGACACTCTGGGGACAGCTGGGGACTCACCCCACACCATGGGCAGGACCAGGGACCCTCCAGTGCAGCTGGAGCCCATTGGGTTTGGCTGCTCAAACTCCAAAGCTCTGGGCAAAAACGGGATGAGTTAAGTGGTTTTTCCTGTCCTGAAAGAGAGGAGAAAATGGAAATTAGGTCCTGGCTTTCCTCCTTCTGTTCTGATTGTTCACTATGGGATTATATCCATAAAAAAGGAAAGGTGACACCAAATAAAAGTGCTCCTTGTCATCATTTTATTCCCTACTATTTTAAGACATAAAAAGGATGCCCATTTTTTCTTATCACATTCTTTACCTAATTTTAACACAACCATTTTCATTCCAGGCCCCACTTGTGAGTTATTCAATCCTTTGCCATTGGACTTTGGACAAAGGAAGAGAAGGATCTGTTCCACGTGGGTGTCATCCAACAGGGAACAGCCCCTGTGCCAACCCCAGCCTGGGCTGAGCACGCTGCCTCACTCCCCCATTCTGCATTCTGGCTCCACTCCAGCCTGAGTTTTCCCCCATTTTCCATGTCTAGAGACAGGAAATTGTCCTGATCAGGGTGTAAGATCTTCAACTGCACATTGGTCTGGGGGCTGTGACTGGATTCCAGCAGGGAATTCATGCTTCTACCGATAAAAACTATTCCAGGGAGCAGCACTGACAAGGTTGGGAGCTGCTGCTTCACCACACGGTGTCAGCAACAGAGAGAAAACATCTAATGTGTATCTAAAACCAAGGATATAATGGATTCTCCTGCTTTTAGTGGGACCAGGGCTAATTCTGCCCTGGAGTGACAAAGAACTTCTCCCTCAGACCCCCAGAGACCCCTCAAAAAGCCAAAGTGCAGCAGGGAAGGAAGGAAAGGCACCTGTGCCTCACCTGCTGGGAGCAGCACAGGTCCTGCTGCTCCTGGGCACTGGGAACGTGTCTGGAGCAAAAAGCCCTTCCCAGGCTGGAGGGGTTTCCTAAAGCACCACCTCTGGGAAGCACAGGGCTATGGAAGAGACAGGGAGTGGGAGTTTACAATAATAGTAACAATAACATCAATAACAATAACACAATAAGGATAGTACTAAGGAAGAGCAGCTAAGGGAGCAGCAATAATTCCCAAGGGAGCAGGGAGGATGCTGAGCTTTAAATGAGGTTTGAGTGAGGCAGCAGCTCCTGGGCTCTCTGAAGCACAGCTCCAGGTCTGGGATTCCAGGAGCAGTGCAAACTCCCACTGTCCAATCCCTGGATTTGCCTCCTTGGCCATGTTTGGCTCAAGTGCTCCAGTGCTGCTGCCTGGAAGGATTGGGAAAATGGGCATTAAACCCCTTCCCACAGGGCTGGTTCTGAGCTCTGGCTGGGGAAAGCATTGGGCACCTCTGGCATTTCAATGAAATCAGTTTCCATCATGGTGAAGATACCCTGAATAAACCCAGGGCACATAAATAAACCCTTCTCCATAAGGACAGCCCCAGGGAATACAGAGTCATTCCTATGCCTGGTCAAACAAACAGCAGCCAGTTTTTGGGGAGAGACTCCAGACTCTTGTCTCCCTCCCAGGCTGTAAAACATTTGCAGAGGCTCTGGAGTTCACACAAGCTTGTCAGGATTTGGATATTTAATTTAAATTCCATTCATATACTAAGGAATTTGAAGTGTCCTAAAGGCAGCTCCACTCACACTTTAAGTTTAAGCCCTCTGCCACAGATGAATTGGGATGTTCTCTTGTTAGAAACACCCCACCTTCCTTAGGCATCTCCATGTGGGAGATAACATAAATGTGGACAAGAGTTTGGAATGCAGCTTCCAAATAAAGTTCCCTGCTAGGAAATGACTCCAGCTCTCTGCTACCTTGGGCTGTTTCAAACACACCCTGGCCCACGTACGCAAATGGAATCAACCCCTTTGTTCCATTGGCCTCCCAGCCCAAATTCCAGTGGGACAGACCAGTCCCTCTCCTTGGAAGGCAGCATCTCCTACCTGGAGCTGGGCCTTCCCCAGCCTTTGGGGGCCGCTGTCTCCATCCTCCCACACCTCTTCATCTTCCTCCTCGCCAGGGTTGGCTTCCTCACCCTGCAGAGCAAACCCAGGGACAGTCACCAGCCTGCTCATGCCAGCCTGGGCAGCAGGGACAGGCTGGTGGCACCTCTGGATGTGCCCCTGTGCCTGGCACCGTCCCTGCTCCGCGCCCATCCCCGTTCCTGCCTGGGCAGCTCCTTGGAACGGGATGTGAAAGCACAAACGTTTGCTCTGCTGGGGCTGGGACAGCAGAGACTCCCCCGGGGCAGGGGGCAAAGCTCCTGCTCCCACATCCTCTGCCTCCCACAGCCCTGCTGGGGCTGGGCAGAGCAAAGGAAACGCCTCAGCTCCTGCTGGAAATTCCCTTCTGTGCCCATAAACCCCAGAGGCTGTGCCTAAGAGAAAAAAACTTTCCAAGTGAGATAATTTAAAGAAAACTCCTCTTGCTTCCTTTGAAGATACTAAAAAGGATATTATGTGAGTAAAAGTATTACTACTAACTATTAAACTAAAATTACTGATTATTATTACTATTAACTATTAAACTATTACCATTAACTATTAACTAAAAGTATTAATATTAACTATTATTACTATTAATATTTACATAATGTTTTTGACTTCTAAATATTAATGTGTCTTTATTCTATCCAGTTCATCTGATCAGTAATATAACTGATCCTTCTCTCACCTGCTATTCTGAAAGACCACTTCTAATCCTTGTGGATACCAAAGAGAATCGTTATGTTAGCCTGGGAAACCTATTGATGCTACCTTGGAAAAAGAATCTCTGTCTCTGTAGAAATGACAGCACAACTTTTGAGACATCAGGAAGCCCACGAGTCACAAAATATTTAAGCTTTTTCTGAAAATAACTAAACTGCAGTGATGAAGTATTGGAGAACCTTTCAGTTCAGTTTCAGTGCTCAGTGTCCTGCCATGGCAGTTTTATTTCACTTCTCTGGGTTGCTGGGCAAGGGAAAAGCCTTTTATAGACATTTGGAATGATCCAAGAACCTGCTCTTGCCCAGAGAAGCTCTTCCACCTGGGAAAAGGCATGGCAGAAGGACAGAGTTTGTCTTAAATACCTACTAGGGCTGCAGGGACATGGAAATCTGCTGAGCATGGCATGGAAAAATGCCACAGGGGAGAAGAGGGACAGACGGCAGAAATGAAAGAACAACTGGGCTTCACAGGTAGGAATGTGGAAATTACATGAAAAAGAGATTAATTCCACAGATAATTGAAGGAGAGTACTGGGGAATTTCTGGAGAGTAGAGGCCAACAGCATTTGTGTAACTGCACCGTAGCAGCACAAAAGACTGGGATTATCTAGGTAATAATGCATCAGAAATGCCAGATCTGGGTATAGATGCAGCCAAACTGGGACCAGGAAATGCAAACAAACCCAGAGATTCTGAGATCTCTTCTGCATGTTGGAAACATTGCAGGTATTTGATAACCCTCAGATTAGTCATCAAGAAGAGCCCCTAGGCAAACTTCACAGGGCTTTAGTGCTATTTTTAAAAAGCAGAGTACTCCTGGAACAGGAAACTGCTCTGTCCTAGTTGCCAAGAGTGTTATTAAGAAGTAAAGGAGTTAACTCCTAGAAATGTAATGAGAAGGATTATTGCAACGTGAAGCCATCCTCATGAAACAGATTATATCTGGAAAAGAATTCAAGTCCCACTAGAAACCAATGGAAACAAGTTTCAAAGTGATGGCAAAGTATTTTTCTTTCAAATTACTTAGCTAATTTAAATGTATTAAACCATTACATTAACAAAACACATTTTTAACTTACAGTGATTTCTTTAAAGAAACTTTTAAATCTCACTGGATTCAAACCTGGTCTAAAGGTTAATTAGTTTTAATTGTCACATTGAAAAACAAACCTTTATCTGAAGCGTTTTTTTAATATATTAGGCCCCATCCTTCCATTCCATTTCCTTCATTATCACACCAAGACCACATGATTGAATGAAAAATGAGTGACTGCACACTAACAATTAAGTCCTCAATGTCCTGTAAAACCAGCATGGAGAAAACAGCACTGAGAACAACTCAGGTAGCAGAACAAGAAGAGACAATTAAATTCACATGTGTAAAAGTATCAGAAAATATCCACATTTGGAGTTTATTCTGTCAAATATAACTAGCATCTTCTCAACTACTTATATTTTTTAAAAAAGTATTTCAGGTGACACTATGTGAAAACTGATCATTCAAAGATTTATGCTCACATGCACAGCCATCAAAGCAGCATGAGGATCACCAATGGAAATCCAGATCAAAATAAGAGTTTAGCATAACCTTTTTTTTCTACTTATGCACACTGTAAACCAGTAGGAGACAGGGAACTTTCAGTAACTCTTTACAATTGCTCAGTACAAGGTCTCCTATAAAGGTAAATTCAGTGATCCCAGTAGTGTCATTCGTGTCAGTGGCACCATAAATCACAGCACCAAAGTTAATGAATCTCACCAGTTCAAGGAAGGTTTCCACACTCACCTGACTGTGCCCACACTCTTTATATCTGATTCAACTTCACTGACATGGGAGCTGATCAGCTCCATGCAGAGTTCTACTTGTACCTGTGGCCCCTTCTGAGCTTATCTGGGACAAAGGAGGTTGTTCTTGTCACAAGGAGTTTCTTGGGTGCCTGCAGTTTCCAAGTCACTCTGCAGTTTCTAACTACAGCTTTTCTATCCACACCTTTGGCAACATCTGAAAATGTAGCAATATGATCCAAGCCAGCTGTTCTGTCTACCTGTAATAGCATTAATTGATTGAGGAATTTCTATACAGCAATCAAAATTACCTGAATCAGGCCATAGCTTACAGTTCAGCCTTGTTCTGATTCAACATGAGTTTCAAAGCCCAAAACTCCAACAGAAAATAGGCTTAGAACACCTCATGACTCTCATTGGAGTTAATAGTCCAGTCATGATTCACTTTCTTTCCTGTTTGCTGGACTTGATCTGCAGCCTGAGCACCATCACAGTTGCTTAATTAATAAAGTAGCAAGGAAAACACAAATACTGTTAAATCTTAATGAGAAAAATGAGCTTGTAATGCTATTGTCAGAAGGCAAGCTTGCCTTATGTCCCTTGGTTCAGTGAACTAGGAAAACTTAGGCTGACTCAGTTGTACTTCTTACAGCATTAGCAATAATCCAGCCAGCATCACTGTGCACAAGAACATCCACAAAACCTTCCTGGCAGCGAGTTTCTCTTGGAGCTCATTGCAAACCTGTTGGTGTATATAACATTCATGCAAAACCCAGTGCACTTCAACAACTTCAAGGTGCAACTTTTTAAAGAGTTTGATTATTGTTGTTCACAATTCCAATTTTCCAGGTTCCTTAGGTCAAGTGTGAACAGAGGCTGTTACACCAGAGGGAGGTTGGTGCACATCTTCCTCCCCATGTGTGGGAGCTCTTACAAATCCTATTAAGTTATGTCCATTTCACAAATATCCTCATGCAACGAGCCAGGTTCACAATCCAGATCAAATGATCATTGGAGAAAAAGTCCCCACTAAACCCAGTAAAAGAATCCATGCAATGACACTGGATTTACCCCTCAGCATGACAAACGTTCCTCTCTGTACCCAGATTTACAGGTTAGCACCACAAAAACTTCAAAGTGTTCCTGCTGCCCATCAGTACATAATACATCCAGTACTACATTACACACAATCAGTTTGGTTCATGTGAAAAGGTCTGCTACATCTGATTGATAAACATCATGCACTACACAAATTTTCTTTTGGAAAGCTGGTATTAAAAATCCTTACGAAACTTTCAGCAAGAAAAAAAAATCAGCAGGAAATATTTTGGGGGCAAGGGGTGAAACACAGGGAAAAACCCGGAGGGGTTTTTCATACTTTTAATGCAGCTACTGTCAAAAAAGGCCTTCCTTGTGTATGAGGAGAAATTTTGTTCCTGTGTACATGGGAGGGTATAGACTGTGGCTTCTCCTCTGTTTCAAATGTCTCCCAGCCCTCTGCATCAAGCTTTGACCCACGCTCACTCCTGCCTCCACTGGGCTGATGGAATTGTGTGGGAAGTCACTTTACAAAGCAGACAACTGAAATACTTGAGTTAAAGGTATGAAAAGAACAGCTCAGTGTACAAGAGAGGAGCTCAGTGAAGAAATAATCTTCTCAAAATGTAAGAGAAATGTTAAACAGGATTTACATCCAAGCATTTACTTCCACTGTGCATCATATATCAAGCAGTGATTGATTTTTTTTTTCCTCCAGGAAATCTTCAGTTTTATAGTTTTTTGTTAAAAACTGGAGATAAACTCAGCAAAGGGTTAGAGGGCATGGTGCCCATGGGAAAATTGCTGTCTGAAAAACAATAAAACAATAGGGCAATAAATATTTTTCTAAAAGGTTCACAAGATAGGAATGTAAATTTTCACCTGTGCCTAACTAGCAAAAAAACCCAACCAACCAACCAAAAAAACCAAAAACCCCCAACCCAAACAAACAACCCCAAACAAAACCAAAACCCAACAAAAAATAGGTCATATCTAAGTTGTTTTGATAACTTGTTTAGATCCTTCTACCATGAAGACAGGGTGGATGATGTAGACTTTTGACTCAATTGCCTAGGAACAATGGCCCTTTCTTTTTATGCACTGAGTCATCTAGAATAAAATAGAGCCACACAAATCAAGACTATCATTCCCTGGAATTCTTTGAGAATAATGTTGTAAAAACACCAACAAGAGATCTGCAAAAAGAAAGGATCAATCTCCTTTTGAACTGGGGGAAGAAAAGTGACTAGAAATGTCAAAAGTTGACAGCTTTGCCAAAAGCTTCTGAACTGATGTCAATTGGTATTTCTGCATTTCTAAAACAGCAAACACTAAAACTTCTGAAGTTACATCCTAAGTCCACAACACTGCTTTGATGATCAGTGTTTAAATGTCAAGAGCTACAGAGAAAAGCTGAGAAACTTCCTGCAGAACATATGAAGCAAAGCAACAACATAAATGACACACTAAAGCAAAAACAAAAGTGTTCCTTATGGAGAAAACAATGGAAATGCAACATGGACAGAAAACTGAGCAAACTGATTTTACAGTGTTTGATTCAGTAGCAATGCTTCATCCTTGTCTTATTAATTCCACATTTACTGGAAGCCTAAGGAAGAAAAAAATCCCTATCTTCAAAAAGAAAATAATATTGGTAGAGCAGGGTCACTTATAGCTCTTTCATCCATTTCAAACCAGAGAAACTGTTTCCTCTTACCTTCTTTCCACTGTCAGCTTCCCCACAGCAGGAAATGATTTGTAGCTTGCCAATTATTTTCCTGATGACAAGAAAATCTTCAGGACTCCCAGTAAGACACTGAATGTACCTTAAGAGGTGAAATAATGAAGTAAAAATAAGTCAGTTCTACATTTAGGGCATTTCTGAGACAGAAATCATAACCCTGAATTGTAGCAACAAGTGTTGGTTAAAAAGGAGTGGGATAAAAATCCCCAAAACCCTGCTCCCATTGAATCATCAAATAAAACAGATTGGCTCTAAATGTATGCATGCAAAGGCAATAAAAAGGAATAAAAATGCAAACTTTAAATACAAGAACAAATAAAAGAGGGCATCTCTGATCAACAAGAATCCCTAAATGCCACGAGAGCCTCAGGGGAGTCAAGGTAAGTTGGATCAGTGACAGGCTGGTTGTAATGCAAGGTTCCAAGCTCCTTAACATGGAACAGACTCCAACCATTGTACCTCATTCACTAAAACACAGAATTGTGCTGTAGATACCATTTTTAAAGCAAAATGTCCTACCCTTCCATCTCTTTAGGGACCTACAAGCAGAACTAGGAGTCTGATTAATTATTCTTTATTTTTTCTACCTGGCCCTCCTTTAAGTGTCTATAGGCTTATGTTGTTTAGCAGTAACATATTCCTGTGCTCTTAACTATATTTAATATCATAGACAGTTTCAATAAAACAGAAATAGATTGATTTGTATCGCTGTATTTCCTGTTTCAGTTCAAAAAAATATAAGATTCATTCCTGTGAATTGTACTAGATTTGCCAAGCATGGAGAGGGAATTTCTCCAGTTCTTCACACAACTATCACCTGCTAGACTGCAGGGATTTCATTTAACCCGTGGATCTCAATCCTGGCCCAGGGAGAGGATTCCTAAGTTGACACCTATACCCAGTTTAATAGTTTAACCTGTGAAGTCATTAAAAATGTCAGTAAGAGTGGTGCTAGTCAGACCAGGATGACATGTGCTATAAATAAATTCAGTGCCTACATTCCCTCACTGAGGTGTCGAACACACCCGCTCCTTGTGTCTGGCTCTTGCACAGTTCCTGGAGCTTCCATGATCATCTGTGCCCACCTACAATTCAGGAAATTACCTGATGCTCCAGCTCCCACTGCAGCTGCCTCCTTTCTCTGCCTGCTGTGAAGAGCACAGGGCTGGGGAGCAACACTCAGCTGCTTTTCCTCACAGGAATATTTTCTTCTGACTTCAACCAAACCATTTCTCCTAGACTTGTCTGTTTCACTCTTAAAATCATTCCCACCACGAATTGGGACACTATTTGGGATCAATATTTTCCAGTCCGATTCTTAGCAACAAACTCCTGTACTAGCAGAGATTCACTCCTGATCCGTGTTTGGATCCCTGCCTGTGGGAGGAAAATCCACATCTTACCTAAAAATATCCAAATGCCACTTATGAATTTCCTTATGAATTGTTGCATGATTCAAGGAGAGGATTGGGAAAAACATAGTTTTCATTGCTGTTCAGGGAGATTCTTGCCATTAATTTTCAGGGTAGGAGATAAGACATAGTCCTTCATATATGTTGTTTACCCTCCTTGAAGTATGTATTTGTGAACCTTTTAAAATCTATATTTAAGCCTCCTTTCTCTTCCAGGCCTTTATCTGGTTAGTTTAGATGAAGCAGCTGCTCTTCAGAAACTGTCAAATAAATACTAATTTTTTCCAATGATAGACACCACTTATCTTCTTGCTACTGCTACATCTGAATTTGCAATCAAAACCACTGCAAGATGTATTCCCAAATGTAAGAAAACAGGGTGCAGCTTTTTCCAGTTTAAAACAACAACCAATCAGTTCACATCTAAAGAAAATGCTAAATAGCCTGTTCCTGAAGCATAATCCAACTTAACAAACCAGAAGTATTCAATGGAACAGCTGATCTACATGATCACACTGGAAAGCATCTCTGTATCTCCAGCTGAGCTCCAAGCCTGCATGACTCTGTCAGGTCCTCAGGCTTCCCTCAGGCAAGGTTCAGACAAGATTCACACACTAAGGGATGCTATTCCAGCATGGAAACAAATACCAATCACAATCTGTGGGATCATCCTCAAATCACACAATTTTTCCTTATCATAAGTTGCACACAATTTTGCCTTCAATGTAATATAGGTAAAGAAATAATTTTTTCACAAGTCTTAATGTGCACATAAATGACCATAGCAAGTCTTGTGAATACAACAGAAATAGACCCTTGAGAGCTTTTCTTTATAAACACTGGTACCACACCTGTTCTGAACAGCTGTAATGGGCAATGTTCAGTTCATGTCCCTCTCTTTTGGTACAGGGAAGGTGAGAAAAGCAGGGGAGATCACATTGACCAAGTTCTGCCTTTCAAGAGGAAAATCATGCTGACTGATACTATGAGCTAAGCACACAACTGAACCAATTAATTCACATTTCAGTGCCTAACACAAACATGTTCAGGACAAAATTGAATACCCATAGTTTTAAAAATTAGTCAATTATTTATAGACACAGAAAAGGGGTTTAGGTCTCCTATTCTATTTATTAAATATCTGATGAAAGAAACCTGAGGGGGTAGTTTTCCCACTTGTACATAAAAGCCTAAATATTCCAAATGTCTATTCTCACCTGTAAATGCCTGCTTGACCAGACTGTGTCAGCTTCTCATTTGTAGTCAATGACTCAAATGCACGGCCTAAGTATAACTCTGAAGGCTTAAACTGTGCAGAATAGAATTATTTCAAGACAAACATTTTATTTTGCACTTAAAAATTTAGCAGAAGTTGGAGAGTTAAATGAATGTCAATGCTCTGCTTTTTACAATGTAACTTTGAAAATGAATAGATACAAGTACGGAAATGAACATTTTTTTAAAAGTACCTTGTACTTTTACCTCTAAACTGGAAAACTCCTTTTAGTAGAAGACCAGGCTTGAAAACACTGCTGCAACAATTACCTATAGTCTCCCAAAAATGACTCAGACTCTAGGTGAGATGTAATTTTGATTCCTAAATACTCAGATACTACCATCAAATACATTAATGATAACTATTGCCAACATTTTCAATAGAAATATCAAAGAAAACTGAATATAAATATTAAAAGTGTATTTTTCCTAACAGGAACAAAGTCTGTATAGGAGTAACACAAAACCAAAGAGGCTGTATGTGGTGCCCCTGCATGAGCAGTCATCTCTCCTTTAGCAGACACTGAAAAGGAATCAGCCTTGTCAGTGTCTAAAAGACCAAGGAAGGGCTGCCAAGGGCCATGTGCAAGCTGCAATAACTTAGGCCTGCTTTTGTGTGTTCAGTAACTCTCAGATGAGGCTGGAATACAAACACCCTGATTTGGCATTTTGGGACATACACAGAGGAAATGTCACTGACAAATGAAAAACTAAGTTAAAGCAGGTTGGGACACTTAACATCTTTCTTTAGGCTTGCATCAGCTGCTTGCACCAGCTCTGGGGAGAAAAAGCCAGCAGGGAACAGAACTTCCAAATTCATTCCTGGCACTTCCCTTCCAGCACACATAAGTGTTTCCTGTGATCTGGATACAGGGAGGAGAGGGAGGCTACCACATCCATATAAATTTGATCCCCTCTGCTCTGACTTTGAATCAAAGTCAGGTGACATTTAAGTATCAAAGACATGAACTTCACAACTCACTTTAGAGGAATGTTAATTTCCAAGCTTGTTTGTGACCAATATATTATGACATTGTGGCTGTCAAAATAAAGAGCCACATTTCTGAGCCGTGTCATTGAAATGTAATTACAGAGGGGCAGTTTTGTGCTGTTCTGTGCAACCCTGAAGAGAAGTGCAAAATAAAACATCCCAGAATCAGGAGCACCCTGTGACAACTTAATGAAACATAGGCAACCAAAACCTATATGTGACATATAAAACCTATGTGTGATATATTTTAAATTGCTGCTTCTAGTAGAGCGTTACAGAACATCAATTAATAAGCAGTTTAGCTCATTGGCATGACCCAAAATGACTTTTGAGAGTGTATTTACCAGGGTCAAGTCTCTCTTGTATACTGAATTTACATAAGCAAGTGGTGGAAAGGAATGCAATGTTGTCCATTCCATGCCAGCTACTTCTGTGCTTGGCTGTGGAAAAGTACAATTGCAAACAAAAAAACTCCCCCCAAAAAACCCCAAACCAAACCAACATAAACCACAAACAAACAAACAAACAAACAAACAAACAAAACCTTCACAAAAAAAACCCCCAAAGAATGAAAACCAAAAACATTTTAAAATCCCAAAAATCACAAACCCTGTCCCCCCCCCCCAAAAAAAACATAGTTGAAAGCAAAGAAACTAAATAAGGAAAGGTTAGATATCAAATATATTTAAAAAAGGAAATTTATTGCAGAGTAGTATCAGGTCTCCCAAGCACAGGAGAATTGTTTGAAATAGACTCATGAATACATTCTCTGAGAATTTTATCCAAGTGCATCTCTACGCTGTGAAGTTTCACAAATTCATTACCCCTTCAGAAATATGCTAGAATCACACAAGTAAAAACTAACTCAACATATCATCATTACCATCTTTAGCACTCTTTCTTTTTAAAAAAATACACTTAGAACCATGAGGTGAAATAAACACCTTTAAAACATCCAAACAAACCAACAGGTATCAGATTGATGCAGACAGCCCCTTAGTGTTAAGCTCCCACAGACCTAAGCTAAGAGTGACATCCAGTGGAAATAGAGTTTACATCCTCTTGATGGCTGCAGCTCAGATTAAACCATATCACATCTGTGTTATAAATATTCAGAAAGAAATGTCTGCCTTGTATTATACACATCACTGGGAAGGCAAAGGTGTGCAAGAATGAAAAGTACTATTGGATTTCCACAGAGATGACAGTTGTGCCACATCCTGATTCATTTGGTCAGAGAGAGAAAATTCTTAATCAATGGTTTACCAAACAAATTATCTGCCTCAGAGTTCACTGTTAAACCAGGGAGATTTTGCACAGAAAAAAAAAATTTAAATAATAATAACACCCCCCCCCCATGCCTCTGGTGCTACATTTGCATAGGTATTTATTGTCATTGATAATGAAGCTATCTTTGGTAATCCTGTATCAAATTTCCTAATGGCAATAAATATTATGAGCTAAGAGAGATAATGATGGAAGCTGCTGTTTTGAGCAAATGGAGCTGAACTGAGTAAAGGCTGACAAACTGTTTTTGGTTTTTTTTTTTTTAAAGCAAGATGGAAAAAAAATCCCTTGTATGTGGAGAAACCTGTTCCCCCAATTCATCTCTTTGGATATCCACCCTTCTGGATTGAAGGAAAAGCCCAAGGAGTCCCATCTCAGAGTCACAGATACTCTCCTCTGTGGGAGATGGGAGTATTTAAGCAAAGGGACATGTGCTCCATGTCACCAGCAACATTTTTCCCACTTTCTTTCAGCCCCAGGAAGGGAGATCAGCCACCCATGGTGCTGTTCTCCCCCACCTTCTCAGGTGCTCCCAGCAGCTCCAAGGCATTGGCCCTCACTCCATTATTCCCTGAGCAGACTGGGGGGAAAGCTTCCCAGTCCTCTGGCTCCATTTGCACTGTTTCTCATGTTGATTCATGCTAGATTCAACCCATCTTTAGAGAAAGGATTGGGGAAAACAGGGCTTTTGCTTCCCATCACATGCCTGCAGCTAATGGCTCTTACCATACCAGGTCTCACCTCTGCAAACTCACTGAAATCAAAGTCTCACAGAAATCTGCTTGGTGCTGGAGAGTCTCCCTGGCCCTGTCAAGAAAGGACTCAGTTGATAACAGGCACTGAGAGAAGACAAAATAGGCAAATCAGCACATGGTGATTGGGTGAATTCCTGTCATCCTGAAAGAATGTTCACTTCTGATCCCAGCTGCAAAGCAAATCCATACTAACTATAACCAGACATGGTTCTGTACCCAGGCAACTTGAAATCCACAATCAGGAGCTTTTATTCAGCTGCTCACCACCTCTGAACTGATGAAATATTGCCTCTGCAAGAAAAAATGGTAGTATTCCACTCCAAGGTTTCATAATAACCACTTGCAGGGTATGGCAGAAATATTCTTCCATTGGGGTATTCATCTTTACAATATTCCAAAGCACATCTTCAAGTACTTTTTCCAATATATTCCCTGGCTTCCAAATCAAATAAGCATTAATAAAGAAAAGATAACATTCATATCTCTAAGCACTCTGCAGTAGATTGCATCTATAAAAAGATACTGAAGTAATTAGTGTTGAGTATTTTTCTAAATTCTCAGACAATAAAAGCAAGAGCACCTTAGTTTAAGGAAGGCACCTTTCCAGTGCTTAGCTTTCTATTCAGAGAGTTTAGTTAGGGCTTAGTGTACTGGCAATCTCTTCATTCAATTAAATTCTCTTTTTATAACAGTAAATTCTCTTTTTATAAAAAGAGAATTTACAGTTACAAATTATGTATAAATTTATTGAAATAAGTTTTAATAAAAATCATAACAATAAAAAACCACAATATGAATATGTTAAAAATGATGTATAAATTTACTGTATCAAATGATGTATAGTTTTTCTAACAATAATTATGTATAGTACTAGGTACTGTAGCATAAGTGTGTGTGTGAGTAATGTTCATTATTCAGACTAAATCACCCTACACAATACTCTTTGCATCAGTAAATAGTAAAATTGTTTTCATTCCAAGTGTCCTTAAGAGTAGTAGGAGTAAAGCAAGCCTAACCAGATGATCATTGGCACTATCCAAGAGCAGAATTTCTCTCCATAAAATTAGGTTTTAAAGCCAAAAAAGACCAGCCTCTCAAAGACACAGCAGATGAGGAGCTCATCTACAGACACAGAAATCTCCCTTCTGATCAGGATGTGCCCTTTGTGTAATATTAGGAATTACCAAATGGGCAACCAACTGTGGGAGTACATGTCATAACCAAACAATACTGCAAGACAGAGGAAACACAGTACAAACAGAGCTCTGAAATCTTTATTTGCCTATAACAAATAGAAAGCATGTAGATCTTCTCATTAATGCATCGTAGATGGAGCTGGTTAAACCACAAATAGGATTGAAAGTGTGAAATATAGAAAAATCTTTCAGAGATATAAACAGGGGCTATAATTATTAAGAATGATAATAAGTCTGAGAACATTTTGATGGGAAAGATGGAAAACAACTTGGATAAAAATAGAAAGGCATGCCTGGGTACACTATAAGTTGATTTTTTCTCAGTAGAGTGGAGAAAAGCAATTCTTGATTAATGAATCCTTTGAAGGCAAATTGTCACCTTTTTTCCCACCCATTTATCCCTCAGTCCTGCAGCTAGAGCTGCATGAAGAGGCATTTACTCTCTTTGTACTACACTTTCATTTTGTTGGGAGACTTCAGTGGAAAATATACCAACCTTAATATCTAGTACACTTCAAGGAATATACTAAGGATTGAGGTATAATCTGCTTTTTGATAGAATTTGTCAAAAGCCTGCTGTTGTTTCACTATAATTGAAAGCGGTCTGGAAAGTGAACAAACAGGCCTACTTCTAAAACCAGTCATAGAAAAGCAAAAAGGGATCATGGAGCTAGTACTGAACATTGAGCACATGTTAAGGTGCTGCCCTGGTCATTTTTGTGTGGCCACCTAAGCAGCTACAACATGGCAAGTACAGCTTCAGTATCAGAATAGTATATTGAAAACAAAGGGCAGTTCTTTCATTGCTTTAAAGCAACAGAAATCCTTTTAATTCAATAAAGAGCTGTGAAGGCCGCATCAGCTGAAATGCAAATTTGACATATTTATATAAAACATATTTTACATGTCACCATAACTCCACTGGGAAAAATCCCACAAACAGGGTGCTGATGTCACCTGAGCAGCTACATCACAGCAGATTAAACAATGACCCAAACAATGAGCCCAGGACTGACTGAATCAGTAGCCATCCTAAGAAATCAGCTGTGAATCAAACTGAGGACAGCGCAACAAGAAATTAGGATTGCTTACATCCCAGGCAGAATAGAGCAAGGACTGGAGTCTCCTGACTAAACAGAACAAGCAGCAATCAAAAAGGCTTAGGGATGTTTCTGCTCCTCAAATATTTCTGAGTAGAATTAAAAAGCTCCCTCAGGTCCAAGTCTGCAGTGGGCAAAGGAGGAAAGGTTCCTGTCGGCTGCACCAAACCTCATCAGCCTGGCCTGAGCTTTGATGTACCCAGTTTGTCAGTGAAAGCTTACAAAGAGTTGAAAGAGTAACTGTGGGACAGAGGGCAGCAAGTTAGAAGGAAAGAAAGGGGTTTGTAACCAGATTGAAAGAATTTAATTTTAAAAGATGATGGGAATTTAATTTCATTTAGCAAAGTGCTTCACCTAGGGACAAACCAAAAGAAGGAACTGGATATTAAATGAGACAACTGTACTGTAAAGTTGGTGAAAAGAACAAATGAGGCTACCTGAAGCCATTTCCATGAAGTTACCAGCACACACTGACAATATAAAAAGGAAAAATGGGTACAAAGGTTCTTTGCCCACAGAGAAAAACAGTCCCAAAATACTGTTTTGTAACTGTCAAGACAGCTTTATATTATTGCTACAAGAATTTCTGGGAAGTACAATCTGTGTATCCTTACTCATACTTCTGAAGCTTTGAGGGTCAAGCAATGACTGAGGTCAGAGCTCCAGGTTTTCACAGAACCTCACGTAGACAGGAATCCTACAACTACTCACCACAAAATCAAGAAGAAGGAGAACTTTTAAAGTATCCATCCTGTCTCCCAATTCTTATCTCTGTGTCAAGGAATGTGGCCTGAAGCACTGTAAATAGCACTATGCAGAAATTAGTTGTGTTTTACTTGTCAAAACATCTTCAGAGGGAATGCAAGTCAGACTTATTTTTTCACAGCAAGAATTCCACTGGAACTATAATTAAATATAGAAGAAGCAAGATACATCTGCCACTGGCACCAGGCAAAACTCAAAAACCATACAAAAATAACAACAGAATAGAAAAAGTGGACATGAGTCTTCTAACAATGGAAGAGTCTTTCAATGGACTGGGGAGTATGTTCAATTTGCTGCAAATGATAGCCCTGATAGAACACTGCACATTCAGTAACAACATTGAGTGGCTGCTACAAGAGGCATCAATTGTCCCCAAGTGCCCTGTCCTACAGCACTGCCAATCAACGTGAGTGTCTCTGAGGCTCTCTGGAAAATACCATGAGAGGAACAGGCACTGCAGATTGCTTGCGCTGAAACAAAAGCAAAGGCACTCAAATAGCAATAACAGCCTTGATTTGCGGCATGAGCCTTACCATGAACAGTGCAGCTTAAGGAATTCTATGAAGACCAGAAGGGTGTCACAAAGTTTTGGGACATTGGGATGGGGTTTTTTTGGTTTGTGGGGTTTATTTGGGTTTTAATTTTTTTTTTTTTTTTTTTTTTGTGGTGGTGTGAATGGCTTTTCTTTGTTCAGCTTTTTTTTTTTTTTTTTTGGTTGAATTTTCTTTGTTTGCTTTTTAAACAAAAAAAAATTGTTGGGGAGCGGGGCGGGGGTTTGGTAGGGCCCCCTCCTCCGGAGGCGGTCCCGGGGGGGGGAGGGAGGAGAAGGGAAGAGGGGTGGGGGGGAGTTTGGGAGGGGCAGGGCCCCCTCCGGAGGAGGGGGTCAAGGGGAGGGGGGCGGGGAGGGGAAGCAGAGGGGGTCAGGTCACTCTGCAGCGTGAACACAGAGAGAGATCACCGGACAGACAAACGGCTCCTCCCGTTCTGCCCACCCCAACCCTCCCCACACCCCTCCTCCCTTCTCCCCCCCGGGATCCCCTCCTGAGGAGGGGGCCCTGGCTCACCCATCCCCCAACCCCCCTGCCGGGGACCCCCAGTGTGATGTAGGGACAGCCGGAACCCCGGCGGTGTCGGGCCGTGCTTTGCACTGCAATGGGGGGACCCGCCCAGCGGCTCCGGCCCGGGGTGGGGGCTCCAGGGACAGCGGGGGCGCCGGCTCTGGCCCTCTGGGCTTTATTCTGCAGCGCCCCGAGCCCCGCGGCTGCGGGGGAATGAAGGAGAGGGGAAGAGAGGGAAAGACGGGGAGAGAGGAGACATGGAGGAGATGAGGAGGGTAGGGAGGGGGGATCGGGGTACGGAGGAAAGCGGGAGGAGAAAGGAAAGGCCAGAAGGGAAGAGAAGGAACGTGGTCAGAGGAGGGAGAGAGTGCGAATAGAAGGGATTAAGCGGGTTGCGACAGGAAAGGAAGGAGTGTGGGGGTTTGGGAAGAAAGGCGGGGAGGGTTTGGGGAAGAGAGGGAGGAGGGGGAAAGGGAAAGAAAGCAGGGGAGCACGGGGAGAAGGAAGGAGGGGTAGAGGTGGGGACAGGAGGCGAGGCCGAAGCCCCTGCGCCCTACCTGAGGACGGCGGACACGGACACATCGCCAGCACCAAGCTCCGGGTGAGCAAATGGCGGGGGAGGCGATTTCCGGGGATTAAATCACCTCGGCCCCGCCCCGCGCAGCCGCGCTGGTGCCCCGCGCACCTGAGCCAGGCCCGCCCCGTGCACCTGAGCCGGGCCCGGCCCCGCCCCTGAAACCGCCCCCGGCCCCACCCCGGGCACCGCCTCACGGAGCTCCGGCCCCGCCTCACGGAGCCCCGCCCTGCCCGCGGAGAGGGCGGGACCATCGCTCGCGACCTCGCCCCTCTCACCGGGGCCGGGCCCGTCCCTCACGGCTGGGCCCAACTGGGGCTGTCCCCGGCGATGGAACCGGGGCTTCGGGCCCGTGTCCGTTGCGGGTCCCGGGGCCGGAGGACTGGGGCGGGACTGCGGCTGGCATGGGGACCGGGCTCGCCGCGGGCGGGAGGAGCCGCTCCGGGACGGGCGCTGGGGCGGAGCCCGGCGCTGCCGCTCCTGCTCCGGCTGCGGCCCTGCCCGGGCTCCGGGCGCGGTCCCGCCATGGCCCCGGAACCCTCCGAACCCCCCGAACCCCGCCGGTCCCCGCAGCGCCGGAGGAATATTTTCGGAATTTTTTATCCAGCGTAGGCAGATAATTCTCATAGTGAAACCCCAAAAATAAAGGCTATGGGGTCGAGGTAGGTGGGAGGGGCGGGCGATGTTCCGCTTTAAATTAAAACACATTGGGAAAAATCCATCTGTGGAACAGCTCATTTCCTCCCCCGGACTGGCTTCTGTGTGATCGGCTCCGATTCCAGCTGTTCGCATGGCATTTCCAGCCTGTGGGACTCCAATGGAATGCCAGGTGCTGAGCACGAGAGAACACAATGGGAAATCTCCCTGGATCAGGCAGTGTCCCAAAGGTCTGGCAGCACCCAGCATTCCTAGCTGGAATTTGGGGATCCTAGCACAGCCCCTCCATAGTGTCCCTGTGAACCTGCAGTGCCCAGCATTCCTGGCTGGAATTTGGGGATCCCAGCACAGCCCCTCCATAGTGTCCCTGTGAACCTGCAGTGCCCAGCAATCCTGGCCAGGGGTTGGGGGTTCCAGCACAGCCCCCCCAGCACATCCCGCTGCTTCCTCAAGTCCCCTTTAACCAGGACCCTTTTTTGGGGTGGGAGCACCCAAACCCAGCAGAATTGGCTTTAGCCAATTTTGGGGGATCTCCCCTCTCCTCAGCCAGTTCCTGCTGCCAAAACCCAGCCTGAGGCTCAGCTCCCCATCCCCTCAATCTCTCCAAGGAATTGCACTTGGATTTCCCAATCCAGCTGGGCAGCAATGCTGTTCTCCTCACTGTGTATCTTAACTGTAGGAATTGCTTAAGAAATAATTAAAATAAATGCAAAGAATGAAGAGACAAGAACTGCCAGCTCCAATCAAGGGCTGCTCAAGCCCCTTCTCAATTATCTGCTTTAATTAATCAATGCAAATGAACCAATTAAAACCACATTGATACAGTTTTATTCTTTTTAATTGAATTCTAGAGAAACATTGCAGAATAGGAAAGAACCTTTTTAACCCCAAAATCCTTCTAGGAGATCCACAGGGCAGGGCTGCACTGCACCCCAAACTGAGGAGAACTGGGAGCAAAGACAAACCCAGACTGAGATTCCTGGGAGATTGGTGCAGCTTCTGCCAGCCATAACATTCCTTGGTCTGAACACACACCTGTGAATCCCAGGAACCTGGGGACATCATCAAGAGCCTTTTTATTAAAAGCAGATTTCCATGGAGAATTAACAGAATACAGAAAATTAAATGCAAAGGAACAGCTCCCCCAGCCCAGCAGGCTGCATCCAAAAGAAAATGAACAGAAAGATGATGGATTGGGACCATCACCAATCCCAAAGCCCTGGTGGGAATATCACTCTGCTTTGGTTTATAGATCACTGCTTCTCTTAGTGGACAAACCCTTCAGCTTTGCTTCCAATTCACTGAGTTCCCAACTGTGGCCACCAAGATTCTGCTGCACCAAGCCCTGGTAGGAACATCAAGTGGTACAGGTGCAGTGTGGAGCAGGGAAAGAATGAGGATTGTTTCTCTTTTCCAATTCCGGTTTTCTCAGTGAGGTTGGGAAAAATAAGGAATTTAGTTTACACGAGAAGATTGGAGTCTCTTTTTAACAACTGGTAGACAACACACGTGAGGAAACATTTCCACCTGTCTCAGCACAGGCAAACCATGAACAGCGGGATGGAATCTTAAAACAGAAATGATCAGGTGCCTTCTACCAAGGTGGGAGAGGAGAGAGGAGTGAGGAGAGCAGAATCTCCTTTCTCCTGGGATAGGTGTTGTACCTGTTTACCTACCTTCCACACCCTCAACAGCAAATTTTCCTTATGGATAACACATAAAAAAAACAACAAACTTACAAGTGAATTGTTAATCTGCCAGGATGACAGCCCTGGGACAGACATTTTTCCTGCTGTGCTCTTGCTCTTTTCAGAGCAGCCTGACCAAGTTTTCCAGCCAGGAGACCCCAAATTAATTTGCACAAAGAGCCACCCCTCAGTACTACAGTTATTTACAGCTTGGCTCTTGGCTGCAGAGAAGGGCCCTGAAAGCCCCAGCAGCAGCACAACCTTCAGAACGGGTCCCCTTGCACAGTCCAGGTGCACACAAAGCACACACAAGCCCCAAACTCCTCCCTTCTGACTCAGTTACCTTCTGGAATGCCACAGAAGAAGGAATTCCAGCCTAACTGGGATTCCCTTCTCCTCCTGGCCTTCAGGGCACTGCTGGGCAAAGGCAGCTCTCCCTCCCTGGCCTGCTGGATTCAGTTTGACTCCTCCAAGCTCTCCACCACTGTGGAATTACAACTGAAATGTTCCACAGGGGTATAACCAGACCAGGAGCTGTCCCAAATCACATGAGCTAAAGACAACCCTGCAACCATTGTTGTGGTATCCAGCACTAAATTAGTGGTTTCAACCTCCTTCTGACCATCTAACACAGCTAATGAGGGCAGGAAAATTAATTTAAACTAAGCACAATGGGCTCAATTTCCATTGCCAGGTTTTACAGTGCACAAAGAACTGAGCTTCCCCAGTACATGGATTTCAAACCACTGGCCAAAGCCAGTAGGTCAGAAAGGGAAAAGCAGAGCTGCTGGCAGTGCTGGAAGCCCTGATTGCCCTGAGTTACAACAGCTTGACCTAAACTGAAGGAGAACCTGAGCCCCTGTGAATATGGCATCAGGTATCTGTGCAGGTTACATTTCCTAAGAAAAAGATCCCTGGGAAGTGCATTAAAATTGTTCCTACCTCTCCTTTCACAAGGCAAGACTGTTTTTCCATACAGCAAATGTTCTTTTTTTTAATTAAACAGATAGCACTTCACTCAGCTGGAGAAGAAAAAGATGAGATTTGCTAAATTTCCCTAAGCCAGGCAACACAAAACAAAACAAAACAAAGCAAAACTTTTCCGTTTGGGTAAAAAAGAACCTTTCATTACACTTTTTCACCATTTTTAACAGTCTACCATATTGATTTTGTCTCTCTTCAAACAAAAGCCAATTCAACTTTGAAAACCATATATTCTGGTGTCCCAAGATAACACATAAATGCATTTCTCTTCCCCTGTGCCCAAATACATCTTAGCATAGAAACATCCAAACTCACTTTTCCTGGGAACTTGCAGAATTCAGCTCAGCATTGCCTGATAAAAACCCCACAGATTTCCAGTGGGTTCTGCCTGCTTGGACTTTCAATTCCTCTTCCCCCAGCTGCTCCCTGCTGTGGCATCCAGGGCAGTTGTTTCCACTGGGCAGGACAGGGAGGGTTTCACACCTCATCTTTCCCAGCACCTGCAATCACAGCCTTTGGGTCCTGCTGTGTCAGCCCCCCCAGGCCCTAAAGCAGCATTTCCTTCCACCCTTCCAGGAGCTGCCTCACAGCCTTCCAGGAAGGCCCCATATCAAACCCCAACAGCTTTGGTTTGCTTGCTTGTTCCCAGCCCCAAGGGAGTTGACTGAAACAAGGGCTGAAAATCTTCCTCAAAAGAAAATCTTCCTCCAAATGCAAACTCCCAGCCACCATCACTCCTGTTCCATCAGTGAACCCACCTTTGGTTCCATTATCAGATGGGCCTCCACTAAAACTCCAGCTTTTCTCTCCTGCAGGAATTTCGAGGCCCAGGGAGTGGCTGAGCCCAGGAGATTTGCCAAAATCTGCTACGATTTCACTGCGCGAAACGCCAACGAGCTCTCGGTGCTGAAGGATGAAATCCTGGAGGTACGTGAGCACTCCTGGGAAAGGTGTGTCCCCTCCCCTTCCCAGGGGCAGCAGAGAGCTCAGGATAGCAGCCAGCACCAATCCCATTTCCCTTGGTGGTGTATGAGCAGTGACCCAGAGCTTTGCTCCAATCCAAGCTGGCACAGGCTGCCTGTGCTGGGCTGTGTCACCTCCTCAGCTCAAACACATCGGTCCCATCCTAACCACAGTGAGGAGGGAGGACAACAACTCCCTGTCCTGCTCTGCTCATCCCCTGCTGGACACCAATCTGTTCATAACACCCAGTTATTCTCCACAGTCCTCAGGAGTTTCATGGGGAAAGTGACACTGGATGAAGTGTCACTGGAGTTTTCCCAGAATCACAGGGACCTTCAAGCTCATCTCATCATGAGTGTGTTCCTCACTCCCAGTTTGGGCTTCCTGCCACTTCTGTTCCGCTGTGGAGCAAAGCCTGGAGCTCTGAGATCAGCAAATCACTGACTGGAAGTAGCAGAGAGGACTGAAAAGGTCTCAATCCCAACTCTCCAATTGTAGATTCTCACAGATCTGTCCTTCCAGATCAGGCAACAGCCAAAGGGTGATGGGAGGAAAATAAATGGCAACACAGGGGCTCAGGAAAATGGGAACAGGGTTCTCGGAAACACAGAGTCCATCCCCCCAACCTCTGCTGCCTCACGGGGGCTGGGAGTTTCCCCTCTTGCTGTGAAGTTTGCAGGGCAGTTCCCTTATGTCACCAGCCCAAAGGGAACTAAATAACTCAAACCCAGGAAGATGACAAGCTGAAGCAGAACCCCAACACCAACACCCCTCAGGGAATGTCACCTTGTCCCCACAAGTGTCTCTTGTCACCACTTGAGAGCACCACTGGGAGCAAAGACTCTGCCAGATCTAAAATACAAAAGCAAGCCCTTTCCTGGGCTGTATTTACAGACTTAATAATAATGCTGAACCACACCCCCATTTTCCTTACAATTTCCCCACCAACACATTTAATGGGATTTTTGACTGAAGATTTGATTTCATTCCCTACCTGTTTCTGCAGAACTTATTCACCAAATGGATGAGCTGAATGACGAGCTGCTAAAGAAGATCACAAACAATAAAATTCAGCCTCCCCACAGGAATTTCAAAGTGGAAAAGCCTCAGCAAGTTTTTGTGCCCCTCACCTTTGAATCCAGCACTGAAGAAGTCAAAGCCTGGCTAGAGGCCAAGTCATTCAGCAAAGAGTAAGATTTGCTCTGTTGCCACATGAAACACTCGTCCTTCCCTGGAGAAGGAGCTGGGGAAGCTGCTGGCACCATCTCACCTGGGACAAGTCACTGGGATTTACCTACAGAGCCTGTGGTGTAAATTAGATTTCAACCCTATTAAACCCAAGCTCTAGAACCAGGATGTTCAGAGCCCAAACTCACTCCTTTTCTTTCTTATAAACATTTTCTTGGAGAAAAACAATCCACAAATCAAACCCACGGCCTGAGATGCCATTGGAATCACAGCTGCCAGCCTGGCACAGCCCCAGGGCCCTGTGATACAACCCCAGTGCAGCTCCCAGCCTCCCATCTCCCACTCCTCACCTCTGGCACGAGGCCACTGCAGCACAACCATCACCCCCCACTTTGTGTCTCCCCAGGACCGTGGAACACCTGGGCATCCTCACCGCAGCTCAGCTCTTCTCCCTCAGCAGAGAGGAGCTGAAGAAGGTGTGTGGTGATGAGGGGAACAGAGTGTACAGCAAGATCACGGTGGAGAAAAACCAGCTGGAGGTGAGTATTTTTCTGGATAATTCCTGCTGGAGTAGGGGGCTGTACCAGCAGTGTCAGATAGCTCATTAAACAGGCATTTTAAGAAACATAACTGGGGGAAAAAAAATGCAACCAAACCTACACAAGCAATAAAAGACACATAAAAATTCTGAAGTGCCTTTTAAGCTAAAAGGCCCCAAATCCATAAGATCCCCCTGTTTCCACTAATTAATCTGCTTTTTACTGATATCACCCATCCCTTTGAAACTAGCTCTACTCCCAGAGCATTCACTGAATACTGTAATTTAACTACAGCTTGAAGTTCAAATCCAAACTTCCTGTTTTGTTTCCATTCCAGAAAAGCAGAGGGGAGTCAGAGCTCCAAGAAATCATGAAGCGCCACCAGGAAAGGATTGATTCTGCTAATTAAAGTCTCTCTGCTTTATTTCAGCTCTTAGCCCTAAGTAGTGCAGAAAAAAAGGGAAGGGAACAAAAGCAATGATTCCCGGCCCAGGCCGGAGGCAGCAGAGCTCCCCTTGGGCTCCAGCTGCCATCAGAGTGACAATTCCTCAAACACTGTTGGGAAGGGTTGACAATAAGACCATATCCCACTGGGAAAGGTGTTTTAATTTTGCATGAAGTATTTTTTTTATAACTATATATTTTATACTGAAATTTTCTGTGCATGCGATTGGAGCAGGATTCCCACCGGGCTGGATGTACGACAAGGGCTGGATTCAAACAAAGACCCCCAGAGCTTTTCTCCAAGGGCTGTCCCTGCTCCCAGCCCTCGCTGGCACAGCAGGCCTGGCACACAGCTCAGGAGGGGCCAGCTCAGGGCCTGGAGCCTGCACCACGGGAATGAGGCTGCAGGAACAACCCTGCAGTGCTTTGGGTTGAAGGAAAGGACATTAAAGCTCATCCTGCCCCACCGCCATCATGGGCAGGGACGCCTTTCCCAAGCCCAAGTTGTTAAAATCCTGTCCAGCCTGGCCTTGGACACTTCCAGGGATGGGGAGTAACGACCCCTCTGGGCAGCCTAAGGCAGCCCCATTTCCACTTCCTCCTCAGTGCAGGTGTCCCCTGCAGCCCATGAGCTCAGCCCGGTGACAACTCCCTGTCCCCCTCCTGTCCCCCTGTGCCCCCTCACTGGACAAGGCTGGAATGGCAACACCCATTCCCAAAGTCTGGCTGCTTCCTTAAATCCACAGACCAGTTGGTGCTGTCTCTGAAATGAGCTCTCAGTGCCTAGAAAGGAGCAGGAGTGACAAAGGGATCTGAACGTGGACATAGGTGAGCTCCACCTGCCCACTGCTGCTGATGCACAGGCCTGGGCTCAGGGCAGCTGTGCAGCCCTTCCCTGGGCCGCTGATCCTGCCCTGCAATGTTGTGGGGCTGCCAAACTCGGCCTCAAACCAGGAGAAGATAAGCCCTGACCATTTGTTCCCGTCCCAGGCACGCCCACAGCCCTTCCCAGGGTGTTGGTCACTCGTCCCCACCTTCACGTTTTCACTGTAGAAAGTCAGCTGAAATGATTCCCAAATAGCTGAAACCCCAAAGCACACTGAGAAAGGCAGGTTTAACTCCAAATAAATGGGCACAAGGAAAAAAAATCTAATTTAGCACTCGACTTTCGGTTGCTCTCAACTTCCGGTTTTCCTTCATAAAGTTATGTGCATTGATATATAACAATCTGTAAATAGGGGGTGAGGAAAATCTCTCTCCCTAGAGGCAGAATTAGTGATTATGCTTCCAAAATTTACTCAGAATTTCAAAACTCAAGCAAGCAGCGTAGTTTCTGTCCACAGCAAGTTTGGCACATTGCATTTCTATCTCTGTTTAACTGACAGACCAACCTGATTGCAAAGCAGTGAAGCAAACACAGCTCCAGAGCTGCCCACAGCCCAGGGACAGTTGGCTTTTCTCTCTCAGCACTGCTCAGTCTTTGCCCAAATTTGTGTCTGTCCTTGCACATCTAATGGAAAAAGCTTTAACACAGCATTGGGGAACTCGTGTCTCAATCTGAGAGCACCAATGCACCTCAGTTTTGGCTTTATTCCTGACTGTCTCTGATGGATAATCTGTTTTCTTCATCTGAAAGAGGACGCTGCTGGCACCAGCAGAATTAGGGTGCAGGCAGGGGGGGATCCTGGGTTTAGTCACAGCCCTGCTGGGATCTGAGAAGGGCATTCACCTTGTCAGGGAGGGATGAAGAGGACAATCCTCCTGAGAAGCCCTGGCTCTGGAAGAGGGTGAAGGGAAGCAGGATGGCAAGCACAGGAGGTGAAGGAGTTTCTAAAATAAAAATAAAACCAAATGTTGAGCTAGGAAACACCCCACCTTCTAGTCCTGGGGTGTAGAGGAAAGCAAATCACAGGGAATTACAGTTATCTGGGATTTTAACAGGAGTGTACAGGACAGCTCTGTAAAGCTGGGAGCCACAGGAGCACTTCCCAAAACAAATATCTCAGCAGACCTTACTGCAGAGGTCACTTTTGCAAATTTCCACGCGACTGAGCTGTGCATCTGTTCTGTTTGTACTGCCTGCAGACACTGCTATAAAGTACTGTACATTGATGTAACTGAGCGAAGGAGACAATGATATAACCATGCACTGTACAAGAGTTATTAAAATAGTTAAGTTATACTTATAAATCCATGTCTGTCTCTTTCACCGGGTTTTATAAATCCATGTCTGTCTCTTTCACTGGGTTCTCATAATGGTTTGTCACTGACAGTCTGAGAAACTCAGCAAAAGGTCTGAAACCACACATTTCCTTTTGGGTTTGGGGACTGACATTCAACAGGAAGGGTGTTATGGCCTGGATAGCTGTGTTTTAAAAACAGAGGTGAAAATCTCACACATCATAAGAATTAAGTCCCAGAAAAGCTGCAAGCTGAACTCCTTTCCTTGTCTGGTCTGGTGGAAGATGTTCCACCCATAGGAGGGGGTGGAACTGGATGGTCTTTAAAGTCCCTTCCAGCTCAAAGCAGTCTGGGAATCTGTGATTCCATGACTCACAAGGGAGGTTCTCCTATTCCATGGCAAAGAAACCAGAGACAGTACGAACCTGTTTCAATTCAAACAGCACTTAAACCTAAAGCTTCTTTGCATTATTCTTTCTTGGGCTGGGCAAAGTATGACAAGGTTGTAAAAAAACACATTCTTACCTATCAGGAAGGGGAACTTCTGAGCTGTCCCAAGTGGAACAATACAGAAAGAGGGAACAGCATAACACCATGACACAACCAAGCAACAGATTCTCCGACATTTCCAGCCATCCTCTGTCTCAGGTGAAAAATCACAGCAACAAGATCACCTCCTCTACAGCCTAAATAGAGTTTCGGCAAATCAAGAGCCCAAAACACCTGCCCTGCTGGGGCAGGGGCTCTCTCGGCGGCTGGAGCTGTGCCCGACAAGCCATTTCGAACCTTGCCACGACGACAGAGGAGGGAGCACAGCGCGCTGAGCTCCTGCAGCGAGGCAGCACCGGCGCGGCGCCGAGCTCTCCCTCACGGCCGCCTCCCCTCAGGGCCCGCCTTGCGGCGGCGGCGGCGCGAGGGACGGATGCCTCGGGGGGCGGGTGCCTTGGGGGCGGCTCGGGCCGTGGGGAAGTCCCCCGGGTGGTGCTGGGGACCAGAGATGCCGGTGCCGGGAGGTCCTGGGGCCGGCAGAGCCCCGGACGCGCTCTGCTGGGGACAATGGCGGCGTCAGGGTCGCCAAAGCGACCGCCCGGCCCGACCCCCAGGCCCACGAGCCAGCCAATGAGAATCGTTCTCCCTTACGCCGCCCCGCCCCGGCTCCTCCCGGCCGCGTCCGTCTCGTGTCCGCGCTCCTGATTGGTCGCTGCCGCCCAGCCGGGCTGGGATTGGCGCGGGAGCGCGCGGGCCGCGGGTGTGCGCGCAGGCCTGTCCCCTCCGGGCACGCGCCGTCCCTTATAGGCACGCGAGCCCCCACAGCTGTGGACATGTTGGTGTCCCCCGTGAAGCGGGAGAAGATGGAATCAGCGCTGGACCAGCTCAAGCACCACACCACGGTGGGACGTGTTTGGGGCTTTTCCGAACTCAAGGCAACCCGGTCCAGCGGAGGGTGTCGCTGCCCGTGGCAGGGGGTGGAACAGGACAATCTTTAAGGTCGCTTCCAACCCAATCATTACAGGATTATATAAAAATAATGCCAGAGTGCTTTTGTTTCCCTTATCTGCTGAGAATGAGCCAGCACACTCCTTTCTGAGAAAGGGAGGTGGCCTTCGATTAAAAAGACACTTGTTCCCAAGCTGTCACTGCCTGGCCCGGCACGGACACGGAGCCTGCTCGGTCCATCAGAGCCAAGAACTCCCTCCCTGGGTGTCTCTGGGTTGTGTAGAGCAGCCCTTGAATCCTGTCCTGTCCTGACCCGGTCCCGCAGTAATCCCTCCACTGCTTACCTAATCCTGTTGGTGTAACAGTAAACAATCCTAAACAGCCACTCTCAAATGTCTTCCGAGTACTAAACTTAAGGTGGAGGAGCACAGGGGTGGCAACAGCTCAGACACAGGAAAAAACCAAACCCCCAGGATGGCCAAGGGGGTGTTTGTGTGCAGGCATAGTAAGGATTGTAGAATATCCCACAGGAATCATTGAGTCCAGCTCCTGGCCCTGTTCAGGACATGCCCCAGTTGTTCTCTGGGCTGCTCTTACCAGTGGGGGTTATTCTTAGAGCCAGAGCCTTACCTGGTTTGCTCCTGGCAGGTTAAACCCTGGTGGAGGTGAAGGTGGTTGTTGCTGCTGCTGGTTCCCAGTGGTGTTTGTAGAAGGTGTCAGTACAGATGCTTTAAGCAGTACCTGTGTAAATTGAAGTTCTGAAGGAGCTGTTTGCCTGGAGTGGACCTCACTCCAGGATCCTGATCTCCTTGAAATTTTCTTTTCCAAATTTTTTTCTCCTCCTTCACAACTTCTGTTGTCTTCAGTGGTGAATTTCTAACTATGTCCACCATTAACCATGCCATTCAATTGTTATTTTTCCTTTCAGTTCTTATTTCCTGGACTGATAACATAACATTCTGAATTGATTCCATAATTTATATAATGGTATTATAACTAAAGCAGATTACTTTATTTTTAAATGCTAAAATTAATGTGTAAGTAGATTCCATCTTTGTCTGATATTTTAAGAATATCAGAATTTACTATCAGCCTCTGGCAAGGGAAATCAAATGGATTTTCAGATAAATGCAACAAAAAATCCAGAAATAGCTCTCTAGAACTCTATTTTTTGATTCAAGTGCTAGTAATCATGGAGTTGTTCATGAGAGATTTTATTGATGAAGTAGGATGGGGCTCTGTCATCTATTCCTTGGAGTTCTTGATTGATGCCATCAGGTCACATTTGCACAAATTCCTGCTTTTGGTAGGGCTCTGGCAAAGGCAGTTTGATCCAAGAGCAGAGAAGGGGGAAATTGAATACTGTACATGGGGCTGTGTGCTTCCAAAATTTGAAAATGGCTGCTTAGGGCTTGGTAACTGAGGAAACCTCCTGAGTCCAGTCATTCACCCCCTCCTTTGTCTCAGAATTGCAGATTATTTTAATAATAATCTCTTTTATCTTGATACCCAATTTTGGACACTGCTTTTACATTCACTGAGTCTCTCCACAGTATGGAATATTTTTGGCTGCAAGGGGCAGCAGCTGCAGAAGAAGGGGTTTTTGTGTGGGAAGGTTGCAGTGTCTGTTCATGTATTATTCTGCCACGTGATGTCCTCCTAAGCCAGGTTAGAGTTATGGAATGCAGGTACTCAAACTGTGCAATTCTTCAGCATTCAGACATGTATTTATGTAAAAGGTGCCATTCTTGTAGTAAACTATTGCTCTAATCAGAAATACCTAATCTGTAATTTGTTTCAGTTGCTATATATGGATAGTGAACATTTCTGCTGATCAGCCTCATGATCATCTGCATTAAAATCCAAAGCTTAAGAAACTTCAGCATTTTCCATTTGTTCATCTTAGTCTTACTGGTACTGCTCACTAGTTTGTAGAAGCATTTTGTCCTAGTTGTGTATTTTTTGCACCAAGGCACATTTTGAATGATGCGCACATTATGTGAGCATTGTGATTAATCTTATGAATAAATGACTTTATTTAAAGTGTCTACTACTTGTATTTAGGCTATGACAGAAAGATTTTATGTACAGCATCCTGCTTTTTCTTTGTGTCATATTACTTTAAAAAACTTTTCTTTTTCTGTCAAAACTTAGTGTTCTTTATAATGCTGATGTAGTATATTTTTGTGTACTTAGGGCTGCACGAGTGTTAGTCTTCTGCCAGTTCATTAAGTTGGAGGGGATAATCTCCCAGCCAGACAAAGGAAGATATTGAAACTGAAGAAGCAGCCTTGAGGATTTTGGTCATGGTGCTGAGTACCTAGTTCACTGGAGGTCAGCAGTGCACTGTCTTGTCTTAGCTCTCAGTGTAGTGCTTCACAATATTAACCAAAACAAGGACAGAAAAATAACCCTGCTTTGTTTTCAGCAGAGTCAACAGGTCTGTGTTCTCTCCATACTTGATCTGAGTCTGTGCATATTCATCTATCTGTACAGGAATGTGTATCTCACCCTGTGGAAAGCAGCAGATACAAGTGAAGCTTCATCCCTTGCTCATCTGAGCTTTTACTGGGTCACGGGCTTCCACTGGACATGGATTATTTATATCAACACAGGTTTACAAGGTGGCTGGATAGTAGCAGAAAGAAAATGTTCCAATACACACATGTCATTTGTTGAAAGTTTACTTGCAGATCTTGCTCCTTAGCATGTCCACTGAATTAGAAACTTGGACTTATGACACAATGCAGGGCTTTCTTCTGGTATGGAATTGAAGTTTGACCTGAACTTCAGTTTAGGATTTTTAAATGGATTCATTCTTCAATTTAAAACAAAGGAGAAGGGTCACATAGCAAATTATTAGGGAAATTAAAAGAACTGTTTTCTGTGGAATACTCAGTAATTAGTCCATCCCTCTGAATGCATCAAGTACTATTAAAAGTAATGACACTAACCATCACAGCATTTAGGCAAAGATTACATTCATAAACAAAAAAGAAAATGCTGTTCTAGCATGCCAGTGAAGTCTGCTTTGACAAGTTAATCCAGTATTTATTTAATTAAACAATGGTAATAAAATATTTAATTGCACTTTAAGATTTCTATTTCTGTCATCCAACCAGGCAAAAAATTCTGAACTCAACATATGTCAAGCAATGAAAATGCCTCAAGCACATCAAATACCAGCCCATTATCCAGATTAATGAAAGAAACTGAGCTGCAATGTTCACAGGTATGAAATATTGAATTCCTTTTCTGTTCTTTGAGTCTGAAGCAAAAGGGAACCGGCCCTCTCCTCCCCCAGCTTGTTTGTTTCTGAGGAATGTTCATCAGCTTCCTAGTGCCAGCAGGCTACAATCACCAACTACTAATTAGTTTTAGATCATGATATTGGTAATGAGTCTTTAGTTTCTCAGAGGCACCAGACTGAGCTTGACTCAAGTTTATTTAGTTATTTATTAAGAATGTTACTGTGCAGTATGAACAGTTTGAGCATGTTTAATGCCAGATATTTGTATTTCATTTACTGGTATCACACACCATCTTAAAACAGGTTTTGCTGATAGAGCAGCTGATTTTAAATTAACTTTCCATTTAACAGGGACAGTATTTGTCTCCTTGTTACTCCAATTGTTTGATTACTCTCTAGGACATGTTTACTACTCAGGCAATTAACTAATTACCTGGGGTAAGAACACGTAATTGGGGGAGTTTTTAAATTAACTTCCTGTCCCATGGCCTCTCTAGGAGGTCTGTTCATGGTCTCATGTCAAGTGCTGCTGTTTTTGCAAGGCGTAAAGTTCTCTGCTAAGTGTTTCACAAACAAGATTTTCATTTGTTGGAGCTGCCAACTGTGAGGGGTAGAGAGAACAGATCAGTTTGCACTTCATGTAGTGCTGTAGTCAGGTGTGAGGTTAATTTGTATGTTCCCAAAAGTGAGCCTCAAAATCCTTTCCACCATTAAGGCAGAGAAATACCATTATCCAGGAGATGATAACAAATTCTGTGGAATGATTTCATACCTGAAGCTGTATTAGGGAGGAAGAAATGAGACATTTCAGCATCTACATGAGGATCTCAGTTTGGTTCCACCTTTCTATCTGGTAAGTTGACACTGGAGGATTGTGTTGAATGGGTAAAACCATGAAAAAAATGCCAGGTCTGTTTCCTTGTAACATTGTGTATTGGAAGTAAGACTAGAGAAGGCAGAAATAATGTAACATGTTTCCTGGCATGCTGTCTTCACTTCTGCTAAACATTGCAGGCCTTATTTGACCTTTAATCCCTTAAAAGCACCAACCCACTGTCAGAAGATGATGGTGGAAGAATGCAGCATATTGAAACATTTTGGATTTTATGCTTTTTGTCTTTTCATGGCTGTCTTCTGCTTTTCTATTTTCAGTATTTTAGAGTAAAAGCCTGAATTTTATTGAAACTCCCAAAAGATCAGATGTTTAAAGGCATCATTTTGGTCAAAGTCACATGTCTAAGTTGCAGTTCTGAAAATGCTTGCAAGTGCTTTCTGTTGGCATGTGGAGTCCATTTTTTGCTTGTTTTTGTAGTTGAAAGTTCCTCAGTATGATTAAAACATTCTCAATTTTGACAAACTGAGCACTAGAAACTAATGGATTCGTTATTCTTTTGAGTAAATATGTGGATAGCAGATTTCAAGGCATTTGTAATTGTATTTATGCCATCAAGAAAATGAGTGCTATTTCTCTATTCCACTCAATATAGCATCTGTCTGAGATGAAGAATACTTCAAATTTTTGTTTTGGCTTCCAGTAAAATTTCTCTCACCAATAACAAATATAAGAATCATGAATGAGATGCTGTGTTGCTCTGTCAAATGTGATCCTTCCACTGGGCCCAAGAAACCTTGAATTATTTTCCTTGTAATAATGCAGCTTCTGCTGAATGTGGTAGAATAGTTTCCAGCTTGCTTCCTAATGCATTCTTTGGGGAAATGGAAGACATGGATTTGAGCTCCCTCATTCTGAGGAGAAATCAAGGTTGAACTTTATATTTCATAGGTGACTGCTGGGCTCTTCTATGAACAATAGGAATTTTTTCTTCAATTGTGTTTTGCCTTTCTACTTCCAAATAAAAAAAATACACACTGACTGTTTCAACATTATAATCAGCCCAGCTGAAGCCTAGGGATATCAGGATATATCAGTTATAATGAAAATATAGGTTCTATGTGATTGAGGACCTAGGCTATCCTAGGTTTTAGGCCAGCTGTGTCCTCCTCTGCTCACCAGCTGTATTTCATGGGAAGTTTGGTTTAAAATATGCTTTCCTTATATCATGATTGTAGAAAACTTTTCTTCTTTAATGTAATGGGGGGGACAAATCTATTCAAAGGTTGTATTTTATAAACTGAAATTGTCTACAGTAAGTAGAATTTGAGGTTAATGGCATTAGAGTATGATAATTTCTGAGTGACTGTGCACAGCTGTGAACTTTGATAATTAGGAAGAAACCTTGAATCAGGAGCAGATTGCTTCATATCTTTTGATTGAGCATATTCTCCAAACTTGCTGATCAAACGTGGGATACATCCCAATTGTGAAACACTGGAATCTGATGAGAAAGATCCCAAGATGGACAGAATAACTTCTCTCTAATTTTACAAGGCACTGAAGTGAGACTGACAAGCCTGTAATTTCCAGGATCTTCCTTCTCACCCTTCTTGAACTTTTGCCACTTTTCAGTCGGGTGGAAGCTCTGTGGACAATGAAACCATCTCAAAAGCAAGGAGAGAGGTGCTGCAATCACATCAGCCAGCTCTTGCAGTACCCTGGGATGAATCCCATTGGGCCCCATAGGAAATGAGGGTGAAATAGCAGAGTTTGGTTGCACTCCCAATGGTCAGCTGACATTTCCTTTTCTTCCTGGAAGCACATAATGCACATGGCCATTTTCTCTATTTCTGTCACACCAATTTTCTGCTTCCTTTTCTCCTGGAAATATGAAATGATTGCAGCTTACCAAGGTGCCAATAACTGTGAGCCAGTTCAGTGAAGAGCTGGTGCTTTATAATTTAGACTTGCCATGTGCCTGTGTGTCACACAACATCTCTCACAAGAGGATTATGGTGTGCTTAAATGACAAATGCATCACTCTGTGCCAAACTCCTCAAAGCTTGAATTTCTGTACTTATTTGGAAACAAACCCCTTACTGATGGTGATGGGTATCTCAAGCCCTCTGCTAGTTTCAATTTTCTTGAGCTTGTCTTGATGTGTGAGAAGTGCAGATCATTAACTTGTCAGTCAGGCAAAGGCAGTATTGCTTTATATCCTTCTAATTACTTTAAGAAAAAGATTCTGTACACACATTTATCCAGTGAACTTTTGAGGGTAAAGTTATCTTTGACATCTGGGAAGTAAGACACAGCAGTGTAATAGCATATACTGCTTCTTGGAGGAGTTCTGCTGACTTTTATCATAAAGAACCTATTTAAATTGACTCTTAAAATTGCTTTGTTTTCCTATTAGCTACCTAAAGGTATAAGAAATTTCTTTTTTTAGCTTTCTTGCCCATGGTGTGACTATGTTGAGTGTCACCAGTCACCTCCTTATTTCCCTTGTGCCTCAGCACAGTTTCCAGGAGTATCTGCTCCATGCCCTTACAATATTTGGGTTCTGCTGTGCCAGTGTACTAACTCATGGAAACTCTCTTTTGGTGTCCTCAGTTTCCCAGTCTTGGGGAAATGATTTCCTTTTGGCTTAATGTGGCAAGAGGCTTTACAATGAAGAACAGACTGGCACATAAAAGCTATTTTACCTCGGTCAGACCCAATACACTGATTTATTAGGGAATTTTGCTAATGGGTTTAGCAGAGTGTGAGACATCAGTGAGACATAATGGTAGGTATGTCTCAAGATATCTCACTTTTTATCTCAATATTATTAAATCACCCTCCCCCACCCCCCAAATATTTTTGTAAATAATTACAATAGAGAGCTTTGAAGAGGTGAGGATGTGAAGGACAGTGGCTGAATGCCATTTCTGGCTTCTTTGTTGTTTGAAAATACAAGGAAGTTAATGTCTGGCCGAAAGGTAAAGCTGAATGCTCTCTTATTGGAGATACTCTGTGTTTTGCTGGCCCTGGATTCCTGAAGTTGCTATCTTCTTCCTGAAAACCTGTAAGATAATCCACTTATAAAAAGTAGATTTTTAGCTTGTTTTGTCCATCTTTTGGATAAAGAAGTAACTTTGCTTTTTACTAATTTTTGTTAATGTGGCTTTTTTTGGCAGGTAAGTACCTTCATTTTATCATGTGGGAAACAAATGGGAAAAAGACACTTTCTTATAGATATTCTAAGTAAATTTCAGATCTTTTTGTGTTTGTATATGAACATCTCAGGTGGCAGGTATCATATAACATGAGATACACTTTTTAATGAGAAAAGCAAAATAAGAGTGAATTAATCCAAATTAAGACCAAGTGAGAAGAACTCAATTATTATCTGTACTTTGGTTTTGTATTCTATCCTGAAGTTCCACTATAGCTGAGTGACATGCTCACAGTTAAAGGCAGTTTTGTGCAACCTATTTAAAACATTTTGAAAAGTAGTTTTCTAGTTGTTGAAATGGAGATGGATGCAGTTCATTTGACAGTGCAGTCTGGAAGATGTATAAATGCTCAAGCAGAAACTCGAGTGTACAAGTAGTTATGTCCAAGTTTATGCCATGTCATAGCACATATCAGCACTGGTTTTATGGGCCTGTGAAAGAAGCCAATATTTCAAGATATTAATTGTTGATCCACTCAATCCCAGGCTTGTAGGCCAACTTAGAATGCTCCCTTCTCCTCTCTGTCCTTTGTAAATTTTACAGGTCCCTCAATCTTTGTACCCTAGGAGTTGCGTCCATTGAAATTAAGAGTTGTAAAATAAACATTGCTTGTCTTTTAAAAAACAAAAACTACATCAAAAGCAAAACAAACCTGTCTTCACCTTGTCAATTGACTAAAAGGCTCAATAAATTAGGAGTTTGGCTTCCTCACCTCCTTCCTGCAGAAAACAATTTTTGGCTTCCATAGTAAAGCACTATGCAAGTGTAATGCAAATCTAATTCAAGCTGTAGTGCAAATCTATGCTTTCTACACCTATTTTTAAGGAATTCCTGATGTTTCAAGTTGTTTCCCTCTTTTATGCCGGAATAGTATGAAATGTTTTGGCTGTTCTCCTGAAACTGTGTTGTCCAAGTCAGAATTTCAGCTG